CGACCTTTCGCGTCACTTCCGCCCTTTCGTCTTCAACCTCGGTAGTGCGTGCTTCGTTAGCTGTGGTGAAGAGGGCACAGTAATGTTTCAGTGATTACTATTCGTAACACCCCCCTTCACTCCTGGCCGTTCTTGACCCGCTTGACTACTCCGCTGAGTTCGGAGCAATTCTGGTACTACTGACGTGGCAGTTTCTTTGTGAGAAAGTCTGCTGCCATGTTACATGTCGGGCAGTAGGTCAGATCAACCTTACCCTTGTCAACTTCGTCCTTGACGAAGAAGTACCGCATCGCGATGTGTTTGGTGCGGTTGACGAATCCAGGTTTATTCGCGATTCTTATCGTGCTTTGGTTGTCGCATTGCAGGCGAAAATTCGGCGAGGCTGGAGTTTTTGCCTCGTGCAGCAGTTCCTGAAGGTAGGGCAACCAGCTGCTGTAGCTGCAATGAACTCCACTTCTGCCGATGATAGGGCAACCAGCTCCTGCTTCTGCGAACTCCAAGAGATGGGGCCGCTCGGCTCGAGGCGGAATTGGAAGCCGGTCCTGGACCGACGATTGTCGCGATCAGCAGCATGATCAGCATCCACGTAGCCGATGAGATTGAAGGATGTGGTTGGGATGGTGGAGTAGCAGAGCCCAACATTGGGCGTGGAGATGAAGAATTGAAGCGCCCGCTGGAGGTCAGAGTGATTTTCGGACGTTGGTTTGCGGGAGTATTAGGCTAGCTGACTCGCGATGTACGAGAGGTCTAGCCTGCAGGTGACAGAGGCAAAGAGAAGACATCCCAATTGCTGCTGATAAGTCTGAAGCCTAGCAGGGGAGAGGGTTCTGTTGTCAGGCTTGTGGTTGGGTCCTGGAGTGCGGTACGGAGTAGAGAGCGGTGCAGGTGCATTGTTGAATCACTTGTCAAGTTCCTCTACGTACTTCGGTGCTGAGAGATGAATGGCTTCTGGCGAGTACGAGATGTAAAGCCCGAGGAACTGCTTCACGTTGTGGTTGCAGGAAATGTCGACGATGTCAAGATAGCAAGCAGGAATGAACAGCAGAAGAGGGATTGCACTAGCAGTAGATAGGATACATATAGCAAACCCTAAATTTGGTTGTACTCACTATAGAGTACCCCACTGCAGACTAGACGGTTATAGCATTCTGACACACCCCCATAGTCAAAGTGGGGTATGATCAGCACAGCAAGCAGTCGCATAAGAAGTTCATAAGCACAAGCAAAGCTAGAGGCAGTCACAAAGGGCAAGTGAGGAGGAGGGACTGTGAGAGGAGTGGAGATAGGAGGCGACTGGTGAAGCCGCAGACACACAGCAACAGGAGCGGCGCGCACGGGCTACTGGAAACAAGCAAGGGTATCCGGACTACTGGAAACACTGACTCTGCCGCCAAGACGAGCGGCTGGAGCAACGGACCCACGGGCGGCTGGTGCAGTAGGATCGCTGGGCTACCGGAGCAAGGGTGACCCCTGGACTACTAGCGCTGCTGACGTCACGACGGCTACTGTTGAACAAGAATGAATGAACTAAGAGTGAAAAGAGTACAAGTATCAAAACCTAGGAATGTGTACCCCCTATAGGCTAACCCACTGTAGCCTAAACAACTACAACAACATATATAATGTTTGACACACCCCCATAGGCAAAGTGGGGGAGAACTAGGGGTCACAAGACCAGTCAAGTAAAGCAAAACAAAGCAAGCTCAGGGTGGATCACAACGTCACCACACAATCCAAGCACAAGTGCAAGGCCACAAGGCCAGTTCACATGCAGGAGTACTGATATATATATAAGACTAAACAAGCAAGAGCAGTGATATATATATGTAACAGTACAAAGAGGGTCAAGAGGAGAGCAAGTGAGGCAAGACAGACACAAGACCCAGCTGGGTACAGCAGCGCTGATGATCACAAGGCGGAAGTGCCTTGGTGAAGACATCAGCAGTGTTGGCCTCAGAGGCCACGTACGCAAGTCGCAACTGACCACGCTGCAGCAGCTCACGAGCAAGAAAGTAGCGGAGAGCAATGTGCTTTGTTCTGTGCTCCAGTCTCTGCTCCCGACACAAGGCCAGCATGGCCTTGTTTTCGACGTACAGGACTAGAGGAGAACGAGGCGGCTCTCCAAGGTCGGTCAGCAGGTAGGTGAGCCAGCGAAGCTCCTGAGCAGCCATGGCCCCTGCGTAGATCTCAGCCTCACAACTGGAGCCAAGAACAGAAGACGAGCGAGTAGCCCGCCACGAAACAGAGCCGGAACCAAGGCTGAAGGTGTAACCCTGTGACGACCGCTGCGTAGCCTGGTCGTCAGCCCAAGAAGCGTCTGCGTGTCCAGTGAGGACCACTGGACTCCGCCCTCCAAGCACTAGCCCCATGCCCGACGTACTGCACAAGTAGCGCAACACCCTCTTTGCTGCAGCCATGTGCTCTGGTCGGTGTCTCCCAGGAGCAACATAGCGTGCAAGAATGCTAAGAGGGTATGCAAGGTCAGGTCGTGTGCAGGTCATCAGGTACATGAGACAGCCAACAAGCTCTGGGTACGGGCCACTCGACTCTACGGACTCATCCGAAGGCAGAGCTGAGAGCGAGTGGCGAGTAGACAGAGGAGTGGCCTGAGGCGAGGAGTACGTGAAGCCGAAGCGCTGAAGGACCTGCTGCACCATGTGTGACTGAGTCAGGGTAATGGTGCGGCGTGCTCTGTCCCGGGTGATCTGCAAGCCAAGGCAGCTGCGCAGTTCACCTAGGTCAGTGCACGTGTGTCTCTTCTGCAGCTCGGACTTCACGTAGGCGAGTCCAGCAGTGTCAGCTGTGGCAAAGACCAAGTCGTCGACGTAAACGAGGATGTAGAACGGCGGCAGAGAGGTGTCGGTGCGCAGAAACAACGACGGGTCGGCAGTAGACGGAGCGAACCCAAGAGCCGCAAGCGTAGTCCTCAGTGTGTCGTGCCACTCACGTGGCGCCTGGCGGAGACCGTAGACTGGACGCCGGAGACTCCACTGGGTACCAGGAGGGAAAGACCCAGTGAAGCCAGGTGGGCGGCGCAGCCAGATCTCCTCGTGCAGGCTGCCCTGCAGGAAAGCTGTGCTGAAGTCGAGAGAGTGCAGCTCGTAGTCCCGGTGAGCAGCAACGTGCAGCAGTACCCGAAGAGTGGTCATCTTCGGGGTGGGGGAGAAGGTCTGAAAGTAGTCAACTCCCTGTCGCTGACTGAAGCCACGAGCCACGTAACGCGCCTTGAAGACAGGCGGAGAACCCGGCGGACGCTTCACCCTGAAGATCCACATGCCACTGACGATGTTCGCCCCAAGAGGGGGGACAGCGTCAACGTAGGTGGTTGTGGACTTCCAGGAAGCCATCTCTGCATCCATAGCTGCCTGCCACTGAGAGGAGTAGGGACCCTCTATCGCCTCCGCGTAAGAGCGCGGAGTCGGGATGTCAAGTGAAGCAGCTGCCAGACACTGGAACTCCTCCTGCCTGTCCTCAAGGACGTCCGTGCCTCCGAATCCGGGTCTCCCTCAGGGGTAAGCAGTACGGACACGAGATGAGGTGAAGCAGCTGCCAGACACTGGAACTCCTCCTGCCTGTCCTCAAGGACGTCCGTGCCAAGGGCACACTCACCCCCGACGGACGGAGGACAGACAGACTCAGACTCAGCGACAAGACTAGCAGCGTAGTCTAAGCGACAGCGAGCAGCAAAGTCGACGAGCTCAGTAACGAGAGCAGACGCAGCAGTAGACTCGAAAGAAGGGTCAGTGACAACAGTAGCAAGGAGACGCGTGACAGTAGGACTGGCAGCACGAAGAGAGTTTGACTCAGGGTCGGCGAGAGCAGGAAGAGAGGACGCAGGAGGAGAAGGCAAAGGGGCACGCAGAGGAGCAGTAGACGGACGTAGAGACATCCGGTGCGTGCCAGGGGCAGGAGGAGGACGCTGGCGCGAACTACGAGCACTAGCGCTAGCAGGACGGATAGGCGACGCAGGACGAGACGCAGACTCACGACGCTCAGTAAGACCGCCAGTAGGACCAGTGTAAGGAGAAGGAGCAGGTAGTGGGGAGGCCGGCTGCAACTGTAACTGTGACGGGACAGGCTGTGAACACGCTAAGGGAGGAGGACCAGGAGGAGGCGAGAGACCAAGAACCTGCTGAAGGAGCGGAACGAAGTACGGCTGAGGGCGCGCGGCGACTCCAGACACAGCAGGGACAGCACCTGTACCCCCAGCGGCAGTACCAGAACCAGCAGCAGCTCCAACGCCCAGGTCCTCAGTACTAGCCTCAGCACCAACGCCCGAGTCCTCAGCACCAGCAGTGGCTCCAACACCAGGGTCCACAGCACCTGCCGCAGCTCCAACGCCCGGGTCCTCAGCACTAGCAGGGACTCCGACACCAGGGTCCACAGCACCAGTCGCAGCTCCAACGCCAGGGTCCGCAGCACCAGCCGCAGCCCCAACGCCCGGGTCCTCAGCACCAGCAGCACCTCCAACCCTCGGGTCCGCAGCACCAGCAGCAGCTCCAACGCCAGGGTCCGCAGCACCAGCAGCAGCTCCAACGCCAGGGTCTGCAGCACCAGCAGCAGCTCCAACGCCAGGGTCCGCAGCACCAGCCGCAGCCCCAACGCCCGGGTCCTCAGCACCAGCAGCACCTCCAACCCTTGGGTCCGCAGCACCAGCAGCAGCTCCAACGCCAGGGTCCGCAGCACCAGCAGCAGCTCCAACGCCCGGGTCCGTAGCACCAGGGGCAGGCGGGTCCGTGAGAGGAGGCGCACCACTCCGAAGTGTGCAACGGCGCTCGTACCACTCACGGATCCGCTCACGAGAGGGGAGCTCCCGACTAGGAGGAGAAGTACCAGCCCCAGTCCGTGTAGTGCGCCTTGTCCCAGAGGTAACACTCCGGAGGCTGCAGTACTGTAAGTACCACTCACGCAACTGCTCCGAGGAGAGGTCGCGTCCAGGTGTAGCACCCTCAGGCCCAGCACCGCAAGGCTCAGCACCCCCAGTCACCGCACCCCCAGGCTCAGCACCCCCAGGCTCAGTACCCCCAGTGTCCGCACCCCCAGGCTCAGCACCCCCAGGCTCAGCACCCCCAGGCTCAGTACCCCCAGTGTCCGCACCCCCAGGCTCAGCACCCCCAGAGTCCGCACCCCCAGGCTCAGCACCCCCAGAGTCAGCACCCCCAGGCTCAGCACCCCCAGTCTCCGCACCCCCAGGCTCAGCACCCCCAGCAGGACGAGAGTCGACAGCAACCTCAACAGGCTCGACCGGGTCTACCTGAGACACACCTGAGGGAGCGGCACCCTGAGGGGGGAGGGGGTCTACGACAGCAGCACCTGGCGCGAGGAAGAGAGGCGGGGGTGGGAGCGGGGCAGTGCGGTAGGGAAAGAGGCGGTAGTAGGGGACAGACTCGTCAAAAGTGACGTCCTGAGAGGGCAAGACCCGGCGCGAGGTGGCGTGGTAAAACTGCCAACCAGGCACGTCCGGAACAAAGCCGAGGAAGACGCAGGGAGCAGCACGAGAGGAGAGCTTGTCCGCAGACGAATCGCGGACAAAAGCTCGAGATCCCCAGACCCGGAAACGTGACGCATCGCCAACCTCCCCCGTCCACAGCAGTGTGGGCGAGGTCTCCGGCAAGGAGACACGGGGCCAGAGGTTGAGCTGATGCGCAGCGTACCGGACCGCAAACGGCCACAGAAAGTGGGGGGCAGCCGCATGGATCAAGGAGGTACGAGCGACCTCCATGACCAGGCCAATGCGGCGCTCCGCAACCCCATTCTGCTGTGGAGAGGCCGGAAGCGTGAACGACTGCTCAATGCCGTGCTCAGCACAGTAGGCTGCCAAGAGGTCGGAGGAGAACTCACCACCTCTGTCAGAGTGCAAGCGCAGGACAGGAAAGTCCGAGCGGAAACGCTCGCTGAGCTGGAGACGAGCTCTGCGGATCCAAGGGATCAAAACATCAGGGACCTCACCCTTGGCTCGCAAGGGGAAGACCGTGGTGTAGCGCGAGTAGTCGTCAACAACGATCAGGAAGTACCTCTCCTGACCCTGACCACGGACACGGGCTGGGCCCCACACGTCCATGTGGAGCGTCTACAAAGGAGCAGTCGTCGGGGGAAACGAGGAGGAGTGAGGGGCGGCGCTCTGCCGCCCCTCGACACAGGGAAGACAGGGAGGAGCAGGCGAGGGTGGGAGGGGAGGGAGGACCCTGGGAAGACCAGAGACAAGGTACCGGGAGTGCATGGCACGAAGGCGCTGCACAGACGGGTGGCCCAGTCGGTGGTGCCAGAGGACAGTCTCGTGCGCTAGAGAGCGACACGAGCAGGGGGCGGACAGCTGACCTGACGCGGACGCAGACGCAGACGCAGCGACCTGAGGGGACTCAGTAGTCAGTGTGTAAAGGTCCGACCCCGGCTGCCGAGTGAAGGTAGCCAAGTGACGGCCCGTACGAGCACACGTGCAGTGTGTCACGCGCTCGTAGGCAGGGGTGAGCTGGTGAACACCCCCGTCCTGGAGTGCACATCCTGCCACCAAGTTCGTAGAGAACGAGGGGAGGTGGAGACCTGACAGTGTGCCCGACGGGACCGCAGGGCAGGGAAGGACAGTGGAAGAGGTCGCAATGACCGGACCCCCAGAGGGGTCAGCAAGGGAGACAGCAACCGGCCGAGCAAGCGGCTCAAGGGCAGTGCGGTCACGAAAGAAGCAGCGAGAAGCGCCTGAGTCCAGTGTGAAGGTGTGCAGTGCTGCAGTCGACACAGTACTAGGGGGGGCAGACGTACACGCACCTAGAGCAGCAGCCTCACCAGCACCTGGGGTAGCGGACACGTGAGTACCTGGAGCGGCAGACGCACTAGTCCTAATGCCCGGGTCGGGCGGGACACTCAGGTACTCAGCACCCTCTCCACTAGTAGACATCACATACATGGCAGTGAGAATAGCATCAAAGTCTAGAGCATAAATATCAATCCCCTTCTTCAGGAGATCAACCCAGCGGGGCAGCTCAGTGGCCTGAGGGAACTGAACACGCCAAGCGTCGTTCAGACGAGCGAAGCAACGCTGTGTGGCGTGCGGTCCCCCACACGGCTGGCCAGTGCGGTCACCAGTGCGAATGACGTACGTGCAGCTAAGGCCACCCCCCCCCCCCCCCCGTGCTGAGAGTACCACTCACGGACCTCCTGGGGCGACGGAGTGTGCTGCTGGCCCTGGCCACCGCCAGTGCCTCCACGACCACCACCGCCGCTACCACCTCCTCGACCACCCCAACCCCGGCCGCTGCCTCGTCCACCGCCACCCCCACCACCTCCTCCGCCCCGGCCACCTCCCCCGCCGCTGCCGCCACCCCCCCCACTGCTGCCACCTCCCCCACCCGCGCCACCCCCCCCGCCACCACCACCTCCCCCACCACCGCCACCCCCGCTGTCACCACCACCGCCCTTGCCCCCCTTGCCCTTGCCGCTGCGGTGCCCACTCGAAGCACACGCAGTCCCGACCTTCTCAGCACCAAGGAGGTCGACAGCAGCAGCAGAGGCGACAGAGGGAAGAAGGGGGGAGGGAGAACACCTCTCAAAGAACGGGGTACGGGGGTCACCGCGAGAGGCACCTACAGCGACTATGCTAGCCTCAGCTGCAAGCAGTTCCTTCTCGAGGAGGGCAATGGTGAGCTCGGTGGGGCAGCGAGCTAGGAAGTGGTCCCTGACTGAGCGCAGAGTGTCAGGGAGGCGCGTGACTAGGTGGTAGAGAGTGAGCCAGAGCGGGGGTGGGTTCTTGGCAAGGAACTCATCAGGCATGGCGGCGCGGAAGCGAGCCTCACTAGTGCGGAGGTGGGTAATGAGATCAGCGACAGTGTGGAAGGAAGCTAGGTCAGGGAAAAGGTAGGGAAGAGAGAGACGGCCTAGAGCGGCAGAGGCCGGCGAGGAGTAGCGGGCAACGACAGCAGTGTACAGTGCCTGTGCAGTCTTGTGCTGCCCAAAGTGCTCGCGCTCATCTATCGGCAGAGAGTTGCGAATAGCGAAGCGAGTATGGGCGTCACGAGTCTGCCACTGTGAGCGGGCAGTGCTGTCAGCAGTAGCAGCAGGAGCAGTAGCGTGGCCTAAGGCATGATCGTACAGCGAGATGTCTTCCTTGGCAGTGAGCTGTAGGAAGAGGTGTAGGTCATCAAGCCAGGTGTCGAACTTCACAGGGCGGCCCTCAGTATCGAAGGCTAGGACAGGAGGGCTCGCCATGGTAGCAGCAGTAGGAAAAGCAGTAGGAGCAGTAGGGTAGGTAGGGCGGCGTGGCTCGGTACAGGTAGGGCGGCGCGGCTCGGTATAGGTAGGGCGGCGCGGCTCGGGTCGGGCGGCGCGGCTCGGTTCGGGCGGCTCGGGTCGGGCGGCGCGGCTCGGTTCGGGCGGCTCGGGTCGGGCGGCTCGGTTCGGGCGGCTCGGTTTGGGCGGCTCGGGTCGGTTAGGGTTCGGGCTGCTCGGTCTGGGTGGGGCCGTTCGGGGCCGCTAAGGGCGAGCGCGGGGAGCGGGTGGGGCCGTGAGGGACGAGCGCGGGGCCGACGTGGGTGCTAAGGGCGAGCGCGGGGCCGACGTGGGTGCTAAGGGCGAGCGCGGGGCCTATCGGGGCCGTGAGGGACGAGCGCGGGGCCGATCGGGGCCGTAAGGGACGAGCGCGGGGCCGACGTGGGTCTCTAAGGGCGAGCGCGGGGCCTATCGGGGCCGTGAGGGACGAGCGCGGGGCCGATCGGGGCCGGTAAGGACGAGCGCGGGGCCGACGCGGGCCTCTAGGGGTAAGCGCGGGGCCGATTCGGGGCCTCTAAAAGCGAGTGCGGGGCCGACCGAGGCCTCTAGGTGCGAGAGCGCGGGGCCGACGGGGCCTCTAGGGGCGTGAAAGCCGAGGCGCCCTAGGGCGCAGGTAGGTAGGTAGGTTGTGGTGGGCCCTAAAAAATCGGTCCTAGGAAGGACCTGCTCTATACCATGTTGAACAAGAATGAATGAACTATGAGTGAAATGAGTACAAGTATAAAAAAACTAGGAATGTGTACCCCCTATAGGCTAACCCACTGTAGCCTAAACAACTACAACAACATATATAATGTTTGACAGCTACCTCCGTTTAACCTCCCCCAGCTGTCCCACACCCCTTTCACACACCCCTTGCTGCACCCCTAGCTCCACTCCCACGACACCCCCCTAGCGCCACTCCCTCGGCTCCCACACACCCACCCCCCTTAGCGGCAGCTGCAGCAGTGGGAGACGGAGGAGGAGGAGGAGCAGGGGACAGCTCACACACCCGCCACCCCAATACCCGCCACCCCCTCACCCCCAACGCAGGCGGCGCGTGCGCGGCGCAGAGCAGAAACGCGGGCAACAGCTGGGGCGGCGTGCGAGCAGAAGCGGAGCAGCACGCAGGTCCTTAGGGCGCTGTGACGGGCGACGAGTAGGGCGGCGCGCGGGCCCCCAGGGCGCCGCGGCGGGCGTCGGGAGGGGGGGTGACGCGCGGGTCCCCAGGGCGACGCGGCGGGCGGGCCCCTAGGGCGCCGCGACGGGCGACGGGAGGGGGCGACGCGCGGGCTCCCGAGACGCCGCGACGGGCGACGGGCGACGGAAGGGGACAGCGCGCGGGCCTCCGGGGCGTCGCGACGGGCACAAAACCGCCGCGCGCGCCTGGGGCGTGCGGCGGGCAGGAAACCGCTGCGCGCCCCGAGCGCGTGGCGGGCAGAAAACCGCTGCGCGCCCTGAGCGCGCGGCGGGAAGAAAAAACGCCGCGCGCGCCGGGCGCGAGGCATGCAGAGAACGTCGCATGCACGGGGCGCGCGACAGGCATGTCAGCAGCGGAAACAGCAGGGTGGACTCATCCACAGGATCGACCCGCGAGGGTCGACCTGCTCTGATGCCATGTCCAGATAGCAAACAAGAATGAACAGCAGAAGAGGGATTGCACTAGCAGCAGATAGGATACATATAGCAAACCCTAAATTGGGTTGTACTCACTATAGAGTACCCCACTGCATACTAGACAATTATAGCATTCTGACAGACGCGCCCCGCGAGGTTCTTCTCGAACTGCTCAAGTAACTCATTGCTTGACCCTGTGTAGAGAAGGTCGTCGACGTAGATCGTTAGTAAGATATATTCGCGGCGATACATCACGGGGTCGTGACGCAATTGCTTGAACTCAATTTCGAGTTGGATGTTGTGCAGGTACTGCTGCCAGAGCCTCGGCGCCTGTTTAATACAGTAGAGGGATTTCCGCAGCTGGCAAACCCGCGAGTCCCCTTCGCCATATGTGTGCGGCTGCTCCACGTAGATCACATCATCTACTAACGCGTACAGGAACACGTTCTTCACGTCGATTTGTCGAAGCGGCAGATGTCGTGCGGCAGCGATGGCGAGGAGGATTCTGACGGAGGTGTGACGGCTCACCGGCGCAAACGTTTGATCGAAGTCGATTCCGTGCCTCTAGTCGTAACCGCGCACGACCCAGCGCGCCTTGAATCGTTCAATCGTACCGTCAGATGCGGTTTTTACACGAAAGACCCATTTGTCGGAGAGAATCCTTCTTCCTTTCACTGCTGCACGGTCGACGAGCACCCATGTGTCGCGTGACTCGAGTGCCCTGATATCCGCGTCCATCACCTCGCGCCACTCCTTGCTATGAGGTCCCGTGAGTGCTTGTTGTGGGTTCTTTGGCTCGATGACGCGCGGTGCCGTTGAAATGGCGGTGTGAAGTCCGAGGAGTTGCATTCCGGTGATGGTGTTGTCGTGGTGATGCTGTGGAACGACCTCCTGCACGTCATCGTCGTCACTCTCTGGCTCAGGTGGCGCTGGTGGTGCCACGCCGCTTCCGCTTCCTCCTGTTGCGCCTCCTACTGTGCCCGCTCCTTCTTTGGGCGAGTCGTCGTCATCGTCGTCGCCATCGTCGTCGTCGTGACGATCACCTTGAGTGAATTCACCTTTGGGATCTTGTTCCAGGATGGCCGCAGCAGCTTCGTCTTTTGGCGTGGCATAGCTGTGCCCGTCATTGGCGTAGACGCGGTTCGCGTTCGTCTGCTCATCTTCGCGAAACTGCTGGAGGAAGAGGCGCTCGTAGAAGATGACGTCGCGTGCGTTCTTAATCTTCTGGCTCATAAGATCCAGGATGAGCCACGCCTTGTGCTCGTGACTGATGCCGAGGTGAATTCCCCAGCGTGCGCAGCTCTTGAATTTTCCGATATTTTACGTTGGCAAGCGGTACTGGACCATACATCCCCATACGCGGAGTATGGAGGTGTCACCTAGTCCCGGTCCACTTCACATGTGGAGAGAGGTTGCCGATGATTGCGGTGGTTGACAGCAGATTGTGCACCCGCACGGCATGGTGCATCGCGTACGTCCAGTAGATCAGCGGAAGCTTCGACTGCTTCATCACCGCACGCACTTTCGTCATGTGCGATTGGTGCGCTCTGCTACGCCCTGCTGCTGATGCGCATAGGGGAGAGAAATGTGATGTTCGATCCCCTTCTGCACGAGGTAATCTTGCAGCTCCTTGCTCCTGAACTCCGCTGCGCTGTCAGACTGCCAGATTTTTAGCTTTTCCCCAGACTGTCGCTGCGCGTGCGCCAGCCACAAGCGGAACACTTCGTACGCTCTGCTGCGTGCTTCCACGTTTACGACCCACACGTAGCGCGTTCCGGCATCGACGAAGGTGAGTGTGTAGAGCTCGTCGTTGATGCCGCAGTGTCCCACGTTGAGAAAGTCGCTATAGATTTTCTCCAGCTTGGCGTAGCGGTTGGTTCTGGGTTCGAGCAGGGGGAAAGGCCGGTGGCTCAGTGCAGCTTCTGGGCAGATGGTGCAGGTGCGCGGATATGTTGCGCTATTTACTTCAGTGTCGTCAGGTCGCGGGAGCGCGCCAAGTGGGAACACACTAGCTTCGATACAGTTCTTTAATGTGACGCGTGAGGGGTGACCGAGGCGCTGGTGCCAGAGTGCATCGTCGGCGCGGAATCCAGAGGTGCGAATGTAGTGCGCGCGTGCTGCGTCGAGATCCTCATCAGGTATTAGGGCAGGTGCCGGTATCTCTTCTTCTTCTTCGCCAGTGCTTGTGGTCGTCATTAGTGCCAGAAATTCCCTGTCAAGAATTATGGAGAGAGGAGTATTAGTTCTAGGGACATTTCTAGGTATGAAAGTTGGTTCACGCGGCTCAGGGGCTGGCCCGTAGACGGTGCGCCGCGGGGTTGAGGGCTCGTTCCCCCAGTCGATGGTATCCCACGGGTTGCGCTCCGGTTGGATGTCAGGTGGAGGTAGTGCGGGTGCAGAGCGGCGTGGTGGGCGACCGAGAGGGACAATTGCAGGTTCTGCTGCTTCTTCTTCTTGTTCTTCTTCCCCCCTTTGGTCCTCGCGGAAAGCTCCCCAGCCGCTAGTTTCGCCGCCAGATGCGGCTCCCCAGCCGTCGGTTGCTGCTCCCCATCCGCAAGTGTCTCCGCCAGTTTCACTCGTGCCCCATCCGCCAGTGCTCCCCCACCCCCCTTCATTGGAGGCGCTCGAGGCGAATGTACCACGCGCTTCAGTGGGACTCTTTCGGCGAAGTTCGCCTGCCTCTCGCGGACGAAAAAAAAAAATGAAGTCATAGCCCTAACAAAAGTAATTACAGTTGAAGTATTAGGTGCATATTCAAATAAAGGTGAACACCTTGCTATCATAAAAACGCCAGCAGTTACCATAGTAGCTGCGTGAATTAAAGCTGAGACCGGTGTAGGCCCCTCCATTGCGCAAGGCAACCAAGTGTGCTAGCCGATCTGCACAGATTTACCTACTGCCCATATAAACAATAAAATACAAATTACTCTAACTGCATGACCCTTAGTAAAGCAAAATAAGAAAATATTGGATGGATCTGCGTAAGCACTAGCACATGCAAAAAGAACTTCGAAATCCACAGTTCGAAAAATAGAGAAACACCCCATTATGCCAAGCGTTAGACCAAAGTCACCTACTCGATTGACTAGCATTGCTTTTATGGCTGCTTTATTAGCTTGAAGTCGTGTAAACAAAAAAATAATTAACAAATATGAGGCTAGTCCAACACCCTCCGGACCTAAAAAGAGTTGGATAAAATTATCTCACGTAACTAGCATTAACATTTAAAATGTAAAGATTGAAAGATAACACATAAATCGTGGCGCGCCACAGTGAGCTTCTTTCCGGAATCGCGCTGGTGGGAGTAGACTTCGAGGAATTTCTCCTCTGTGTATGGTCGTGGA